GCAGAGTCTACTTCTCATTTATTTTTATATCCCTTTGCAGTGTGCTTGGTGCATAGAGAGTGCCCAAAGGAAGTCTTGTGGAATTTGATTCCTGGACCCTGCTCCTCCTGCCCAGCACCTCTTCTGGCCATGGCTTCACTCCATGCTTTCTGAACCTCTTTCTTTGTCCAACCCTTCCTCAGTTGCTCTACTCCCAGGATCCTCTTCCGATTCTTCTATCACTTTGTCCCTAAACCCCCTCCAGCACCCAGATGGTCCCTTCTCTGGCACCTGTTTGCTTCCATCTTTCAAGGGACTGTAGGGGCAACCCGTTTCTTCTGCAAAACAGAAAGACAGACAAATAGCACCTGCTAAGAGATGTCTATTGAAGGGATAAGTGCTTTTGATAGCACGTCTCCTCCAAAATTTGGTGCCAGGGGAAGGTTGTTTTCTTGTGATGGAATAAAACTTTTCCTTTTACTAAGAACATGAGAGCTATACATCCCAGTTGGCTTCCTTATTTACACCAGCTTCCAGGAGGAAATTCAGATTTAGCGTTCAAGTTGGCAACTCTCTTTACATGATGTTTCTGGTAGAATTATTTCCTTCCTTCATCTGGCTCTGTTCTAATTATTTTTGTGAATTAAAAAAACCTACTTAACTTGAAGTGTTCATTTTACATTTCGATGTCAGAAAACATGTAATTACATTAAGAGAAAAATTTAGAGTAGAACTGTATTTTCATATGGGATTATACCATACCTCCTTTCCCCCAAATTTATTTTAAATTGTGGTTTTACGGCAAGTCACAGAAATCCTTATTTCAAGAAGTATGTTACAATTTTCCATTTTTCCTTCCTTTCTCTCCTTCGCTCTTTTATCTTTCTCAGAAAGCAGGCTGCATTGGTTGAAACACGTCATTTTGTTTGAGCTATAATAGAGATGGTTTGCTCACACCAAAGGAAAGAAAGGGGTGGGAGGGAAGGGGAGGCCATACCTGGGGAGGGAGAGGGACTTACTTCTTTAGCACTGATGGTTCTAGCCGCCCCATCCACAGTATTCTCAAGTAATGAGATTTCCATTTTATTAATGAGGTAAGCAGCCTCACAGTGGTTAAATGACTGTCTCAAGATTTTCTTTCTTTGGAGAAGTCCAACAAACTCAGTTTATGATCTCATCTTCTTATTTCCTAAAATCTCCTGTCCCTCCTCTCTTCCTGATTTTAGAGCCAAACAGCTCTGTTATCTGCTTATTCATTCCAGAAGCCCAGGAGTCCTTTGCATTCTTTTCTCTCCATGACTTCAGAGACAGCTATCCTGCCTCTTCAATACCTTTGCTCTCCTCTTTGCCATCGCCTGTACCGGAGTCTGGGCACAGTGGTTCTGGCTTGAGACTATTTCCATTCACTTTTTGCCAACATCTCTTTCAATTTCTCCTGCTCCTGTCTTTCCCCTACTTGGGTGTTTTGTCATTGCGATATTTCCGAATGGTATATCTGACAACATCCCTCCTCTGACTGCGCTCTCTTGCCCTCAAGTAAAAGTCCCCTGCAAGCTATGTCATGATTTTCATGATTTGTGTCTCACTCCTCTGCAGTAGTCTCTCCCATATACATCCTACATACCAGTCACACCTAGTGACTTATGGCTTTGTGAACGGTCACGGGTTTTCATGCTTCCATGCCCTGTACACTTTGCTCTGCCTGGAGTGTTTGTCTCTTGCATGGGGAACAACTGCTCTCTTTTGAGACCAGACTCAAATATTTATTCTTTTCTTGCTTTACTTAATCCCATTATCAAAAGTGTTGAGCACAAGCTCCTTTCTAGTTCTCTACCTTGTACATATTTATATAGTACTATTTGTCACACTGTGCTGCAATTATTTGTTTTGTATTTGACTAGCTTGATTATACATTTCTGATCTTACAGATTTCGTTCTTATTTTTGCAAACTCTAGATTTACATATCTTATTCTTGTTATATTCCTAGTGCTTAGCTCTAAGCACTTTTTTTTAATTAGGGTATGGATATTTCATTTCCTTCAAGCCAAAGGTTTATATTAATTGTAAAATATCGCATAACTATAACAAAATGGATGAAAGGAATGTATGTCATTGGAATACCTGCTGAGTTCATTGTAAGAGGAGGTGGTAGGACATGCTTTACTTGAGAATTGGAAGATGGCTTAGGATGGATTTGCAAATAGACTCAAGAAACATTAGTCTGGTACTTTTCCTTTGCAACGACTGTTAGGTTTTTCTACCCTTATAAGTAGTTGAGTCTGAGGGGGCCAATTAATTATCCTTCCTGCTTTAGGTTCTAAATAAAAAATTAGACAGGAATTAAAATATCAGCAATGACCAGTTTTATTGCAGGTAAAGCTGAACTGGGGAATGCGGTGTAGACCGGATGATAAAATTGGGCTTCCTACTTTACCCCTCCCTGGCTTTGGCCAATTCATCCATCCAGGCTTGGAAACCTGAGGCTGCAGGGGCTGAGCTGGAGGGGAAGGCTTGCTGTGTGGGAAGCGTTGTCAGTCAAGACACACAAGATGAGCTGTCCAAATATTGACAGCAACCCTGCTTCATATTGTTGCAAAATGAAAAAATGATATCATACTCTGGATCTCATCCATCCGCAGAGGAAGGAGGTCTAAGGAGAGTTAGGAGAATGCTCTCTTCATAGTCGAGAAAGGGTTAGTTTCTATTTAATGTACCAAAGCACGAGTGCCAAAAAAGACAGGGGCTGGTTCTTCCCAGCAAGGGTTCTAGGACAGATCAGTCTCTTAAACCTGGAGTCAGGACCTCAGATACCTTGATCCAAAGAATTCCCCTTTCAAGGACAGATCTGGTAACTTCAAAGTAAAAATAGTATGACTCTGTCTACTTTCTTTTACCTAGTATTTATCATTTTATCATGATGATGGCTGGATCAATAAGTGTGCCTGACAGGAAGGACAGGTGGGTTAATGTCATTAATGCTTAATGACAAAGGAAGCATCTACTTGACAGTCAAGTGTGAGTGTTCTGATGGGAAGCATAATCGCCTGTGAATTACTATGGATTCTAAAGGACTTTTTTTCCCCTGCAATTTATGGAGGGCTCTGGACCATGTCATCTCAACTCAAGTCAGTCTGTAATTGCACATCTTGATGATGGTAAAGAGCAGTGACCTGAAGGCATCTAACACTTCTGTGGCAAGCCCAGAGTGACTTGTGCTGCAACCATGCTTAATTTGCACGCTTGGACCTTTCTGACATCCCTTCCGGCCCTCGGAGTTTATGATCCAGATACACCTCCAGTGGAAACTGACCTCAGAAAAATCCTTTGCTGGGCTCTGACCCATATCTTATTAACTCATAGTTAGGCTTATTTAGTTTTGACTTAATTTATTTCCAGTCCATGGGTTTGCATTCTTTTTCATAGCTAAATGTGCTCCCTCAAAGTATGATGTGTTGAATTTGGCCAGTTCTATACATTATACAATGGTAAGGAAGAAAAAAATAAAAGAGGAAAAGTCCTGGTCAGGAGGCAACAGTGTAACATAAATAGCCATATTTTCACATAGTGGGTCTGATTTTCTCTATCAGTTGAGATGATCTTAGAAATAACATTCCTTATTGATGCTCAGAGTCTACGGTGACATAGCAGTGGTTAAGTCCCCTCAGCCAGTGGGGGACGTGAATCACCTGATTCTGAGGGCTGGGGTGGGGCCAAAGATGCCACATTTCTGACAAGCTCACGAGTGAAGCTTATGACCGAGTAGCAAGCACCTAAGTTAACCAAATCAAAACACAGGCTCCCCAACTCATCACAATTAATTTTATTCCACAGCATGTGTAAGGGAATGTTATTCTCAGGAAGATGTTCAGGATTAAAATAATAATTAAAAAAAACCTTGAAAGTACACACATTTATGTATCTCTTCTTTTCATTAAATATATATCTGTTTGGCAAAAAAATGTTAGACTCTTTTGTACAAAAACAAAGCGAAAAAAACAAAACAAAACAAAACAAAAAAAAAAAACAAAAAAACAACAACCCCAAACCCTTGCAAATTGTCAATACTTGTAATAATTACAGTGATGTAAACTTGGATGTCTGACAGCTTGACCATCCCGTGGAGCCTGTTTGCAGCAGAACCCCCAGCACAAGGTAACACCAAACCTTTAGACAGGGGCCGCCTGCCACAGAGGCATTAGGTTTAGTATATTAGAGATGGGGACGACAACTGATTTCACCATTTGTGCTTTCAGCGAAGGGGCCGGAAGGGTGTGAGGCATGAAGAAGGCAGGTGTGGGCTGGGGCAGAGAGAGGACACCCAAGACTAGCTGGCGAGGAAGGAAGGTAGGTCACAGTCACAGTGCAGATGTGAAGTGGGCATGGGACCTGGGACTGTGTCCGGGAGACCCGGTGCTGGCGAAAGCTAGGACGAGGCTGCTGCTGCTGCTCTTGGGACCAGAGAGGAACAGCATGAGGCAAAGGCCTGGACGGAGGAGGGAAGGGATTTGGAAGCTATTTCAATTCACACGGAACTGGTGGTGTGAGCGGACTCTAGAGAGAAAGGGAACGAGGAGGTGGTGTTTGGTCTTCTCGAGAAGCTAGGCTGTTTCTTCCAGACGCAAGCACTGGGGCACTCCCTTCCGTCTGGAGGGCAGGTTTGGGGGCAGTCTGGAGCTGCCGGCTTGCACATTCCGGGGAGGGAGGATGTGCCTGATGGGAGATAGGACGGAAGGGCCCTTTGGATCTCTTATTGGCGGTGGGTTTTGCTCTGCTCCCACCAGTAGACTGTAGCATGGGAAGTGACCTAAAGCAATGGAGTCTAGAAACAGAATCAGGGCAGTGAGCAGGATGCCAGGTAGGGGCAGAAGAACGCTGGGGCTAGAGGTGAGGCCAAAGAAAGTGTTGACCCACAGCTTCTCTTGACCGCGAGAGGGTTCCAAGGCGTGGGTGTGTTTTCATTCTTCTCTCCCATTAGCTAGATTTTCCAGTTTTGGAGGGGGTGCTTCTGGGCCCGGCCACTTCAGTTACAGTCATAGACGAAGTCATAGTTGCTGGGCTCCTTGGGGATGGGTGGAGGTGCGTCGGGGATCTGAATGTTTTCCAGGTCGAGGAGGCGGAGCTTGATTTCCATGCTGAGCAGGGTGTCCAAGTCATTCCGGGTCAGCTCACTCATCATGTCTTTCCCCAGCAGCGCATTCAGCCCATCTGTCCAGATACAGTACTGGTGGAAAAGGAGGCGACAAGTGTAACTACTGATGACAATCACAAGTGTGGTAACAATGGTTAACACTGATTATTCAACATGTGCTAGGCTCTGGAGAAGGTGCTTTGCCTAGATCATCATTTCATAGAGTTGACACTTCTGTTATCATCTCTGTTTTGCAGTCAAGGGAACCAAGGCCCTGAGAGGCTGAGTAACTTGGTAGCAGGTAGTGGGATTCGAACCCAGGCAATCTGACTCTAGTGTCTGCATGCTTCCATGCAAATAATGCCTTCTTACATAATAGCAGGAGGATTTCGGATCTGCATGACTTTGCAACATGACGTCTCTAACATCCCACCAGTGAGTTTGATTTTAAGCTTTTGGTACAATGTATTCCAACACTACTGCGCTCGGCATTACATTGAGCTTGCTTCTTTCCTGACTACAAGCATGGTTCCTAGTCTAGTGGCTAATCTCTGCCTCTCCTACGTGATTCCTAACACTCACTATGACAGTCCACACCTGCCCTGGAGCCAAAGGTAGTCCCACCTTTGCATTTCTCAGCAAAAGCGCTGCCCAATGTCTGGTGGACAAAATGGCTAAAATTATTGGGTGATTTTCATGGGAGGTGGGTTGGCTGTCTGTCTCTTCTGCCTGAGTCTTCAGTTTCCAGAGCTTTTCTCCTCCATATCTCTGAAGCCTGGTTCCTGGGGACGTGGCTTTTCTGGGAAGACCCTCCAGAGCACCGAACTAAGAATTTTATTCTTCCTTTCTCATTAAAAGGAACTATGCTCTTTGTTTCTCCAGTTGACTGTGAACTCCTTGAGGGAAGAAACTGTACCTTGTTTATCTGAGGACCTGCTTTGTTCTTGTCAGCTTCCCTCCCAGGGGCTGTAAGTTGGGGACATGGTATTAGAGCCATGATACCTGGTGGAAGGACTAGCTTCTGCTGCCAGAATCTGAGAAAACCGCCTGCATTCTGGATGCTGTGTTCTTCTCACCTTTTAGGATATTCTAGTCCTACAGAGGATCTCTGTGATACCAATTGCTCTGCTCCTACTGTCAGACTAGTCTTCCTTCTAGAACATGCTCTAGATTCCCCTTTGTCCTGCCCTCACTCAGTCAAGTGACAATTCCAGACCCTACTTAGCTTGTCCTTTGCAGTGTGGTTACCTGGGCTGTGGTGAGGAATATAACATATCTCAACATAAAAGGTACTACAAGACTGCAAGGACTTTACAAATCTTAAGTCACAGTGATATGGAAGTCTCACCATGGTACCCACCGATGGCACCACTTTCTCAGCTGAGGAGAAGCACCATGGCTGTATTATGAGGTTGTATGTCTTAGCAGTGCAGCCCTGAACTGTAGAACTTTGCCTTGGCTATGTGATCTTTGCCAAAGCATTTAACCCATCTAAATATCAGTTGAGCGCTAAGAGATCTCTGGAAGTATTAATGTCCTCAGTAATACCTTAGATAGATTCTGAACTCATCTAAACATCCATTTCCACATAAATAGCTTTGATAAAAATAGATACTGAGGTCCTACCCTGGAGATCATGAACTTGCATATCTTGGGTAAGTAAATTTTATTCAGAAAAACTTCCAGTGAATTCTGATATACCTCCAGATACTGGTACCACTGAACTCCATGCTCTCTAAGGCTCCTTCCAGCTCGAACGCTGTAAATCCCTAAGTGCTGGGATTACTGCTTTTTATACAGCCATGCCAGTCCTGGCTAGCTTCCTAGTACAGATTAATGTAACCCACAGGAATACTTCTGTGGCGCCTTTCTTTTGAGAAGCAGCAGGCACAGAAAATTTTATTGAAAAGTACATCAACCAATAAATAAAAACTCTGTAGTACAGAATCTGAGTTTGAAGTATCAAGATGAACTTACAATGTATTTTGTCTTTTAAAAAACACCATAGCTCTTAGCTTTGCCCATAAAAAGACCTAAAAATAATGATGAACCAAGAAATAGTAAGCACACCTAATGCCCAGATTCTGGTTGCTAAATACCATTTTCTACCAAAAAGGGACCAAGACTCCAAAGAGAGAAAGCAGAAAACATGCAAGAGGAGCCTGGAATATTTTGTCATAGCAAAATGACTGAAAAGTTGTCAAAGACATCTGGGGTCATGTCAATTGGACACAAAAGTCAACCAGAAGGTGCTCTGACTTTCTCTAGATAGGATAATTTGGACATTGATAATAATAATAACTGCAACCTATTAAAACACTGATATGTTTACATCCATTACTTTATAATGATGCTCAAATGCCAAAACACTTCATTGTTCTCATTTGGAAGATGAGGAATTATTTTGAAGACTAATAAGGGGAATCAAGTATTTATCCTGCCTATTATATGTAAATTGTATTACCTCAAATATGGGGCCAGTTTCCCGCTAATAAATGAGAAGGGAATGATAGAATTGAGATATTAACCTTTTCCAATGTCTAATGGGTCCAAAGATCTAGGCAATAATCATCAATGGCTGCTAACATCTCCGAAAGATAGACAACCAAATACAACACCACTGTTGCTTAAAGTTGTGCTTGAATTAGATTAATCCTCTAACTATCACTGAACAGGAAACACAGGAGACAGATAAACATGAGAAGTAACAGTGCAGGTTGCAGTAGGCAGAATAAACTCTCCTTTTAAGGGCAACCATGTCCTAATCCCTGGAGCCTGTGAGGATGTTGGGGTACACAGCAAAGGGGATTAAAATTGCTAATCAACTGATCTCCAAGTAGAAAGGTTATCTTAGATTGTCCAGGTGGGCCTAATGTAATCACAAGTGTCCTTAAAACATAGAAGAGGGAAACAGAATAGGAATGAGTGAGAGAGGGAGTTCTGACTACAGAGAAGGAGGAGGTTGGAATGAACTGCTGTGGAGACTCAACCTCCATGGACAAATGGAGGCCGTGGCTAAGGAATGCTGGTGGCCTCCCAAAGTGGAAAGGGCAAGGAAGCAGATTTTCCCCTAGGCCCTCCATAAAGGAATTCAGGCCTGCCAATACTTTGATTTTATCCCCCAAAGACGTGCATCTTCTGACCTCCAGAATTGTAAGGTAATACATTTATGTTGTTTTAAGCCACTAAATTTGTGGTAATTTTTTGCAACAGTGACCACAGCAAACTAATACACATACTTATAATAAAGCAAAATCTAGACTCTCAGCAAGGTTACCAGACAGATGACTTGTTTTTTTCAATGAATAAATTGCAAAGGAAAAAAAAAGCAAAAGCAGATGCTCATAAGACAGGGAGATAGAGAGAAAGAGAGGAACCTACAGATTCAAAGAAACTGAAGAAACAAGTTAATCAATTTCTATGCATGGACCTTATTTGGATTCTGATCGGAACAAAGTATAAAAGAAACACACACACACTCACACACACACATACATACACGAGGCAAGTGGAGAAATCTGAAAACCGACTACAGATGGTAGTATCAAAATGTCTAAAAAAGTCAGGTGTAATAGTGGTATTGTAGTTAGGTTTCCAAATGGATGCTATTTTCAGAGATGCACACAGGAATATTTGCAAATAAACACTATAATTGGATTTACTTTGATAGGAATCTGGAGGGGGCAATTGGGTGTGGGTGGAGGTATAGGGGAGACCAGATTGGCCCCGAGTTGATTAACTGCTGACACTTGGTGACAGGCACTGGCAGGAAGCTGAGTTCAGGTCCTGCTCTCTGCCTTCCTGGCTACACAGTGCAGGGGCCAGGGAGACGGGGTTTCTGGAGCAAGGGTCCTGTGGTTTAAATTCCAGCTCTGTTATGTACTACTTGTTTGACTCCGGACAACTTTCTTAACCTCTTTGTGACTCACTTCCCTCCTTTATCGAATGGGCATAATCACAGTTTGTTTCTTTCAGAGGTATGTGAAGATTAAGTGAGGGGAAGTACAGAGGATGCCTGGCACAGGGCAATCCACACTGGTTGTAAGTACTATCATCTTTACTAATGTTGAGGTATTCGATTTTGGGAGGCCACTCTCCTTATGTGGTAAATGAAGATACCTGTAATAGAATGTTCTGTTTTATTGACCGAGGATGCAAATAAAATGAGGTAATACATATGAAAGAGATTTGAAGACAGCAAAAGTATTCACAAGTGTATGGCATTTTTCTCCTCACTATGTCAATAAAATGTGGCAGTTATAAATAAAATTTGGCAGTCCCAGAACATTTATCCTTATCTGGAATTAATGCAAACTGGAGAAAACAGCCTTGCAGAGATTTAAATAACATCCACATTTCTACATTTTAAAGCAGTTTTCTATACTACTATGTATAAGCTGTATATGTCTTAAATATGGTGGCCTGTGAATAACCACAATTTTGTTTAAAAAGAGAAATGGTAGGACACAGTATCTATTTTCAGAAAGATGAAGACAAAGTCATACCCTTTTGCAAACTAAATGTCAAGTAACACAGAATTACATTTAAGCACCATTCTAAATGCAGGATTTGCATCTAATCTTTCCTCTCTCTTTGGGATGTACAATTTTATGCAAAAGCTTTAAACCAGTGAAAACTAGATACTGAATAACTTCTAAATGAGCAGAGTCTCCTAGGGGAGATCGGAAACAAAAGTCAGGTTCCATTAAAATGTTCCCTTCCTTTCTAAAAGCTGTTTATGCAACCGTATGTAAAACAAAAATTTGAATGGTATCATCTAAAAATAAGAGTTTCAAACATAATATTGGGCTCTGTTTTACAAGAGAACAAGTTAAATCAACCATAGCTGCTATTTCACCTTACAAATACATTTTCCTAGATCTATGCTAAATATTTTAAATATAGCTGACAGCGTGCTTCAAGAAGAGAAACAAATTATACATATAACAAGATGTCAAAAAGGAATAAAATCATCTCAAAAATAAAATTCCAACAGCAGAGACAGCCCAAAACTCTTAAAATAACTTAAAGAAACATGGTAGAAAACCTACTTCATCAAATGTTTTAAAGAAGAGAGACACGTTTATCTTGGGAAGATCCTGACTAAAAATTAAATACTCAGTGAAAACCAGTGCTTGACCAGGGCTGATTCTTCTTCAAATCGACAATTATGTCCTTGCTGAGTATGAAGCATTTGTACATTCTTTTTCTTTACCATGAACTACTGGTCGAGCTAGTAAGAGGTTGAATTGGTTATAATGGGCAGTTTTTAAAGAAGTCTCCATTCTATTCCAAATCAACAAGATGTTCCTTTGTTCATGATTTTTCTTAGGCAGGCTTTTTTTTTAAAATGAAATTTATTTCCAATATTTCTCTCTTGCTTGCTCTTCTAGAGAAAATGTGACACTCTCTCACAAATTAACCCCACTGAGACCCTTACCTCGTGTTTGTCAGGAGCTATGAAGTTCAGCTGGCAGTTTGAGTCATACAAGATCGAGAAAGCAAGTTCAAGCACCTCCTGCAAGGGATGAGAGAAAGTACCACGTTAAGAATGGGTACATTCGTTCCACAGTTACAAATGGTTGCGGACTGAACGTGGAATAAGCCCACACAAGAGGGGCTTGTCAGTGAGGCTGATGGGGGGAAGGAGCATCCTTTTTTTCCAAGGTTCACACTTTCCTTCTATTCAGGGGAAGTCTGCATGAACCATCTCGTTCAATTCTCAAGATAATCCTTGCACAAGTGTGATCATTTCTCTTTTATGGCAGGGGCTTGGAGAAGTTAAATGACTGTCCAAAGCCATATAGCCCCAAAGCCATGCCACTCTTGTTTCTTCAGCATCTCCTTTCCAGGTCCAGGGAAGCCTTGAGAAATAGTAAACTCTTCTCTAACCAGCAGATTAAGGGCTGCTCTATCGTTGATTACCCCAAATACACAGATGTCCATGTGGGTCTGAGGTTCCTAAAACATGAAAGCTACATGGGAGTCCATGAGGCTTGTGGGTGAACTCATTATCTTTAGGCCCTTTGTTCCTTAAGCTACTGTAGAGCAAAGGCCACACAAAACTTAAATTTTATCCAAAGAGGCTGCAGAGTATAACGGAGAAGCAAGGGCCCAGTGTCAGAATGCCTGGGTTCCTTCATTGGTGAGTGCCTGTTGAATGCAGGCTATGAGTCAGACACAAAGGGCCAAGGACTAAACACCACTGCCATTTCATTGTACCTGTATGACCTTGGCCGAGACACTGTCATGTCTAATATGTATGTATGTCTTAAGAATTTAATTCTATGTGCTGTACAGTATTGGGCACAATGATTATTCTACTAGTTTGAGCGGTCAGCAGGATACAATCTTTGCAAGATGACAGTTATGGCACATCTCAACACCCTACCAGCTCCTAATCTGGAGAAGGGCCAAGTGTATCCACATTGGTGCTCTACATTGTTATAACACACAGATATTGCATAATTTCTCAGGAGGGCATAGCTTTCCACATCACTCTCTGCCTAACATCTATCAGAGGATTGCCTTTGGCCACTCATGCACAGCAAGAATGCTCCAGAAAGAAGATGGACCTCATCTGTCTAGATGAGGTCAATGCCACCAGATTTCAGAATTTCAAATGGGTTAAAGAGTTCTTGCCAAGTGAATTCTGAAGGCTTAGCATTAGCTGGATGCCTCTCCTGACAAAGTCAACCATCCGGCTATTTGGGCTCTCGTGAGGTTTGTCTGTATCTGACTCATGAGGAAGGAACAGCTCTTGTTCTGAGCCCAGACCTACCAGGATCTCACACTCTTTCGGCCTCCTCACCCTGCCTGAAGTAGGAGCAAGTGAAGCAAAGAATGCCAAGTCAAGAATGGGAGCTTCTGTAAAACTACCCCATCCCCATTTTCCTTTCTTCTCTCTCAGGCCCCCATTCAGGTCTGCCCAGTGAAGGCCAATAATATTAAAATGAAACAAAAAGAGCTCACCAAACGAAACAAAAATATTTTTTCCACTAAGCTTGGCATCTCCCTTGGGTCTTTTAGTTTGTCATGAGCCCTACAGTGATATCATAAATTGGTGTTATCTTTTTAAAAAAACCATTCAGGCAATCCTTATCAAGAACCGGGGATCTCATTCCTGGGATTATTCCTAAAATTCTCAAAACCAAGCAAAAACTGTATACATTATTACCTGTAAGAGCATAACATGAGAACCAAATAAATGTCCTCCCCACTTTGGGTAAACAAGTAAAGAAACAAGTATATTCAATAAAATATAAGCTCTGATCTCATATATTCATGAAAAAATTGTTCTTAGATTAGGAACATTGATATAAATGATTTTTTACAAATTTTAGTAACATTCAGGAAAACCCTCTGACTCATGCTTGAGCGATTGGATAGAAAGGGGAGGATAGGCTTTGCTTGTGAACGACCAGTCAGTATATGGCAGCCTGGCAGCCACCCTAGGTGAGCTTCAGAGGTCACTGGAAAAAGGTGAAATTCACAAACAGATTTCTGGGCGGATGCTGGACAACCGGTCCTCTGCTGAGAGCAGTCACGTGAATCATCCCCTTGCAAATGACAGCCAGTGTGAACACCACCAGGGCCCAGAAGCAGCTGCTTGACTAGGTGCTAAAGTCACTTGAGGCCAGAGTGTCAGTGTGGTTGTCCTTGTGACACTGTCTGTTCTGCAGAGGCACAGAGAAGGAAGAGAAAGGAGGGGGCCTGCAAACTTCAGGCTCTGCCCTCCTAAGGCATAAACCAGTGAGGACGTGAGTAAAAGAACGGAGCTGTCATGACCTAGATTCCTGATAAACACAGGCAGGAAATGGGAAATTCGTGACGATGTCAATCCCCACTTTCATTTCACTAAAGCTGCCTAGGAGGGGTGGGAGGAATTAATTCTCTGAACCACATGACTGCATTAAAGGCTGCTATCGCCTGTAATGAGTTTTATTGACGTCTCTGGCTTGTTGTCATTGAGTCGTTGGTGGAGGTCAGCTCTTCAGCACTTCAAGCACAGAGGCTACAGAGCTGGGAGCGATGCCACCTCTTGGACTAACACTCCAGAAGCTGCCACCTGTCCAAACTGTCTGTGAGGGAAAGAGGTGCCAGGAGAAGGTAGAGTCGTGGTCATGGGTCTGGGGAACGTCCCCCTCTTGGGTTTCATCACGCTCCGTGGCACTCAGACATCTGATGCTCTGGGGCTTTGCTATTCACAACCTAAGGTCTTTTATGCCCTCTGGATTTAATTCAGTGAAAAACAATGTTCAGGAGCTCCTTATTTTCATCTTCTATTCCATTAATTCACATCTCTCAGCATGTGAAGGAAGTCCTGGGATGGGAAAATTCTGGGGATATGGGAGGCAGGAGAAACTGAAGATTCCCCCCCAACCTATGCCCTGGGGCCTCTGACCCCATCCTCAACTCCTGGGCCCTAAGACCAGTGATAAGACATGCTAGGTCAGGGGAGCTCAGAGAAATTCTGGGCATGGATGGCACTTTGTTTTAAGGATTGCCATTTTCCAGGGGTCAAATGATGGACTGACTGAACACAAGAGTAGAGTTTGATACAACATACTTTCAGTATCCAGTGTTGGCTGCCATTCCTTTTATTGTTTTGGGGTGACATGCCTTATTTGGCCATCTTTCCCAGCATTCACTTGAACTGTGTTGGTTCTCCACCATGTATCTAGGTCGTCTTGAGGGCAAAGCATTTTGATTAAAGACATAGGGTATAACTTGGCATGTGTGTGTGTGCTAAAATTGGCCATAGGCATAGCAGTAGATTTCATAGCTGTAACACACTGCTGCTCATCTATATCTCTATGAGTTTGAGTTTCTATTTTAGAAGGCAAAAATTACTCATTCATGTAGTACATAATAATAGAGGATACTGCCTTCTTCAGGCAGCTGTAACTTTCTGGCCCCAATCTATCTTAGCATTATCAGCCAATAGTTCTCCCACCCATTTTCTTCTCTCTGTCTCTATCAATCCTATACTGTAAATTCAATGTATCTCAATCAGAGGATATTCTTTCATATATTGGAAAGCCCCTGTGCCTTTTCACATACTCTCTCCTCCTCCTAGAAAGTCTTCCTCTTGCTTCTACCCCTGAACAATTCCTTTTCAAAACTCAGCTCAGATACCATTTCCTCTGGGAGCCTTTTTCAAGTCTCCCAGACTCTCCCTGTATTTAAAGGTTCTGGGGCATAGACAATATTGGATTATAATTGCATGTTGGCACATAAATTTTATATCTACTAGACACCCAAGGCCAGGGGCCAGGTTGTGCTTATCTTTCAATTCCTAGCTCCTGGCACTGGCATGGTACAAGGAAGACACTCAATGTCATATGAGTATGAATGATGAATAAAGTAAATCTCAGTAAAGGGCTTTTGGGTTAATACCAGGGTTTTCAAGCTGATGCTAGAACATTAGCTTCTAGTATAATCTGCTTCTTATTTCAGGTTCATGAATCACATTGGAAAAATAAAAGCTGGATTCTAGGACATGGTGAGAGGGAAGCTTCTGCTATGTCAAGGATAGTCCTATCCATATCAGTGATATCTGGTCAGATCTTCCTTCTGGGGACTATGTTCACTACTTACGCTCAGAGCTCATCTTGACTGGCATCCAATGCTGACTGAGTGAATGACTCTAGGAACAAGTGCCTGTGCCTTCAGGGAAAGGTTTGGTTCCTTTCCCTTTCCTATTCCCAGGACCTTAGACAGTGCCTGACATATCAGATGTTGAATGAGTGAGAAGTCCTGTCAGTTACCAATATATTGCTATTAATGAAGTGTCTCCCTTATGGACCCTAATTCTCAGTTTGTCTTGCTCAGCGATTAAACTAACCAAAAGACCCATGGCATGAAATGTCAGAACCTACCCTCTAGTTGGAAAAACTGTCTGAAGAGCCAGCAACACACCTTAGTTATTTCCTCTACCATGTACTGACAGATCTCTTGTGGACACATTTTGGTCAGGTCTCCTTTTAAGCTGCAGGTCTCCCCTTTTCTACCAGAAGTCCCAGAGGTAGGGAGCAACAGCCCTGTGGAGTACTAGGAGAAGGGGTGTGGGTGTGTGGGATTGAGGAAGGCAATTCTCAGAACCCACGGTTTCCTCTTTGCCTTTTGATGTTTTGCCTGATGAACTGGGTGTATGAACACTATAGATGTTGCAAGACAAACAATTTTCATGTGTATGGAATGAAAGAGCCAGGCTGGCAGACATACTGCCTATCTCAGCCCTCAAAGTAGCCTGGAAGAGCTGGTGGTGACCAGAACATCTAGACCGGTGAATACCAGGAAATAGCCTCTACTGGCTATTTATCTATGTGTTTATAGCACTGGGCCTCATTTATCCATCCATCCATCCATCCATCCATCCATTCAATTTTCCATGAGTTCCATGACAAAAAAACCAAAAACCAAAACCCAAAATAGACTGGAAAACGCCATTTACTCAGTTTGTTTTGTTGATCTCCTCTAAGGGGAGAGGAGTCTGACACAGGAAGGCCACATCAC